GTAGACTGCCCGTCAAACCCTCTTCCAAGTAGTATGAAAAATTAAAAATGTAGCTCTCAAATACCCTGCATGGGTACAACTTGCCCTGTGCATATGGAGTTGGTATGTTACACAAATGAGCCCTTGAACACCACTCTGGTGACACCACCAACCCCCACAGTTCAAATAGGTACATACTACACAGACAAATTCAAGTAGAAGCTGCAAGCCGCCCCCTTTCAACTAAGCCTGTAGAAAATGGGCTTCTCCCCAAAGAAGGTGTGACCGACAATCCCTCACAGACATCAGTGAGTTCTCACAGACCACATCACATGCAGCAACAGCTGGCAGAATTTTCCTCTGCCTAGGCGATTGGCCTAGCTATTGTTTGGGAATTTCGCATTCTCCCATGGCTCACATGCTTTCTCATGCATGCACACATGACATTGTTTGGGAATTTGGCATTCTCCTATAGCTCACATGCTTTCTCATGCATGCACTCATGCATGTCATGCCTCTGTGAGACTCATCAATGGGTTTTGCAGCTACTCTGTCTACACAGGTCTTTGTAGGAATATCTGACAGCCACAATTTGGATGCTAAGAATGAACTTCTGATATCAGGAGTCAGATGTGAAACCCCTAGACAAAGGTATGGTTCAGTCGCCTCGCCCCTGTTTTGGCTCCACACCTACATCCATTGACATGACCGCTGCAGATCGTGACAACACCACATGCCACGCCACACGCCGGCAACAACTTGTCCGCATGTCATCGACAACTGCAAAAGTAACAGAGTTCTGAAGAAGATATTTCAGTGGGAAGGAGTAGCACAGGAGAGGAGCGTGACCCGATAGGAAAGAGGAGGAAGGAGGGAGAAGGCAAAGGGTGTGAGGAAGGGGTAAGGAGAAGAGAGGAGAGGAGAGGAGGAGGGTGGTGGAGAAAGAGGAGGGGACAAAAGGAGGGGAGGAACAGGGGGACGAGGGTGGAGAAGGAAAAAGGGGCAGGGTGCGTGGGGCATAACCGGGGGAAGAAGGGAAGGCAAAGGGTGTGAGGAGAGGGTGGAGAACGAAGGAGGGGCAGGGAGTAGCACAGGCATGGGGCATAACCGGTGGAAGGAGGGAGAAGGCAAAGGGTGTGAGGAGAGGGTGGAGAAGGAGAAGGGAGGAACAAGAGGAGGAGGGTGGAGAACGAGGAAGGGGAAAGAGGGGAGGAACAGGAGGAGGAGGGTGGAGAACGAGGAAGGGGCAGGGAGTAGCACAGGCGTGGGGCATAACCCAATAGGAAGGAGGGAGAAGGCAAAGGGTGCTGCGGACGGGGGAAGGAGAGGAGAGGAGGGTGGAGGAGGAGGAGGGGAGGAACAGGAGGAAACACTATCTGATTGAGTCTGATCAGGGGGCAAGAAATTAGGACAACCACTCTTTCGCTGACATTCAAAGGGTTGGCACTTCAATTTATAAAAGGGGRGGAGRGGGGGGGGGGGGGRGGGGAACTTCAAAAACTGTACTGGACCTTTTCTTCTCACAAACTGTAAAACGAACTCTATTCCAGTTCCCAGCCTGTAATGCATTTTTTTTTTTTTTTTTTTTTAAGGACTGGAACAGGCCCCATTACGAGATGCAAGTCGCAGATCCCTCTGCTTGATCAGCTGTGGATATGCTAGTTGGAATTGCAGTATAGCCCACAGCAAATGATACCAGGAGAAGGCCGGCCATAGTACTTTGCAGAATATCAGGTGCGCATCACATGACTGCCATGACAAGAAATTACTCAACCTAATCTCACCTGATGTTCTGATAATCAAATCAGGATAAGGACATCCTGAGGTATACATCCACTGATCAAAGGCATCCTCAGTTAGTCCCTCTACTCTACTACTACTACACCTTCCTGTCTCTGCCCATGGAACTTTTCCCAAACACCTCCCTCCCCTCTCCTCCTCCTCCTCCTCCCCCTCCTCCTCCCCCTCCTCCTCCTCCTCCTCCTCCTCTTCTTCCTCCTCCTCCTCTTCCTCCTCCTCCTCCTCCCCCTCCTCCTCCCCCTCCTCCTCCTCCTCCTCCTCCCCTTCTACTCCACATGTCGACAACGCCGACGCCGACAGCCCGTTAACCTCGCCAACCGCACACTGAACAGCACAATTGTCACTGCAAGATAGCTTGCGGCGAACGCCTTGATGACCATTACACTCTACAGCTGTGCTTTGCACTCCTCGCTTGATCCTGCCTTCCCCCACCTCTGTTACTTTCTGGCGCAAACGCGGCGGTGGACTCTCGCACAGGTCATTCGCATAATGCCCGTTCCCTTGCAATTCGTGAGTACCATTGCATGTATCATTGCAACAATCCTCTCCTTCCTCCTCCTCCTCCTCCTCTTCTTGTTCTTCCTGTTTCTTCTTCTCCTGCTCTTCCTCCTCAAGTACTTCGCTGCACAAAGATTGAACGGCACTCACAATCTCTGCCTTTCCTGAATAGGCAATCAAGACATTAAACACCAATCGAGTGTTGTGCGCTGTCGCCGTCATTACCCGCTCTGCCGCTTGGCGGACATCTTCAGGCAGAAGAGACAAGTCTCCCAACACGTTGATACGTACTCCACCCTCCTTGATTGCCGACTGATGCTCCATCAAAGACTCCAGCTTCTCTTTCATAAGTGTCATAAGTGCGCTGACCTCTTCTGGCGAGCGGCTGAAGTTATCGATCGCAAAGGCGTACGCAGAGATGTACTGCACGCCTAAGCTGAGACAACTCTTCAGGGTTTCCATCAGTCGATCGAATCCCATGACATGGCCAACGTGCCGGTCCAGATTAGAACGCTTCGCAAATCGACGATTGCCGTCCATGATGAACCCTATATGCGTTGGCATAGGCCCTGCTTTTAAAACCTGCACACAAAAAAAAGACAGAAAACGACAAAGAGAAATTTGAAATTCATGGTCTCAAAGCAAAGCCCCATTTCTAAATGCCTGCCTTCTTTCACAAAAAAAAAAAAAAAAAAAAAAAAAAGCCTGCCTTCCAAACCTGCAACCAAGAGAGAAAGGGAAAACGGCAAAAATAATTTTATCTCACAGCCTCTTGAGCCAAAGCCCCACTTCTCAATGGGCCTCACTCCACTACTCACCAAATGTGCAAAATGAGAATGAATCTTCCACTAGAAAATGGAAATTTTATAAATGGAAAGTTTATAAATGATGGAAAGTTACATGGTCATTTTCTTGTCTTTCATGCATGTGGAGAGTAGTGGAGGGAGGCCCAATGCCTGCCTTCAAAAGCTGCAACCAAAAGAAGGAAAACGACAAAAAGAATTTCGATTCACAGAATCTGAGCCAACAGTCCCCCCCTCTCCCCTCTCTCTCTCTTTTCCATATCCTTGCGTCTTACTTCTTCTTCTGCTGTTTGTGTCTTGCTCTCCTCTATCTCGCCCAATCTACTGTAGTCTTTCTACCTCCTTCCTTCCCTCCTCCTTTTTCTCCTCCTTCCTCTGCCTCCTCCCTCCTCCTCCTCCTCCTCCTCCTCCTCCCTCCCTGGCTGGTTTCGCGCCTATGGTCTTACTACTACCGTCTTCCCCCGGACACAACGCACCCTCATTCTGACCGTATCTGGCCAAAAACATCGCTTGTATACATTCATTTTCAGGGTGTGTTGTGTTCGGGGGAAGACGGTAGTACTGTGTGTCTTCCTATCCTGGATATCCTTCTCTCCTCTATCTCGCCCTATGTTGTTCTTTCTACCTCCTCCCTTCCCTCCTTTTCTCCTCCTTTTCTCCTCCTCCTCCTTCCCTCCCTTTCTCCTCCTTTTCTCCTCCTCCTTCCCTCCTTTTCTCCTACTTTTCTCCTCCTCCTTACCTCCTCCTTTTCTCCTCCTCCTTCCCTCCTCCTTTTCTCCTCCTCCTTCCCTCCTCTTTTTCTCCTCCTCTTTCCCTCCTCCTTCCCTCCTTTTCTCCTCCTTTTCTCCTCCTCCTTCCCTCCTCCTTTTCTCCCTCCTTTTCTCCTCCTCCTTCCCTCCTCTTTTTCTCCTCCTCTTTCCCTCCTCCTTCCCTCCTTTTCTCCTCCTTTTCTCCTCCTTTTCTCCTCCTCCTTCCCTCCTCCTTTTCTCCTCCTCCTTCCCTCCTCCTTTTCTCCTCCTCTTTCCCTCCTCCTTTTCTTCTCCTCCTTCGTCTACCAGAGCATCCGAATAGCGAGAGGAGAAAAGGAGGAGGGTTGGAGGAGGTAGAGGAAGGAGGAGGAGAAAAGGAGGAGGTAGAGGAAGGAGGAGGAGAAACGGAGGAGGTCGAGGAAGGAGGAGGAGAAAAGGGGGAGGCTAGGAGGAGGTTTCGCGTCTATGCTTGTTGTTGTCAGTGAATGTCGTCAATGCAGTTGCTGATCGGCATTCAACATCGTCGCGTGCAGCCAGGCGGAAGATTCATTCTCACTTCTGAAAAACATTCGGTGCGTAGTGGAGCGACAGCTTCTGATCTACTCATCACATGCACCACAAAAGACAAAAAATATGCCAGTGTATTTTCCCATGTTCTAGCGAAAGATCCATTCTCATCTCTGGAAAATATTAGGTGAGTAGTGAAGCGAGGCCCGGAAGCGAATAGCTTTATCTAAAGCGCCAAACCTAACCCGGGTTAGCTTATCTACTGACCACATGCACAAAAGATAAAAGAATATGCCCGTGTATATTCCCGTGTTCTACGGGAAGATCCATTCTGATTTTGAAAAATATTTCGTTAGTGGAGCGACGCCCTAAGCCAATAGCTTAATCTACCGGGCCAAACCTAACCCGCGTCAGGATGGGTTGAAAGCAAAACAAATACAGCCCTGCGTTTCTAGAACGTATGTGGTCGCCACCTAGGGTAAGATGCAGATCATTCACCTGCACACTGCAGAGCATCAGGTACACCCCATATGACCGGAAGATTATTTCGGTCTCTCGTCCCCCTCACATGCTTATTTCCTTACTCTTTTTTTTTTCGTTTTTTTTTTTTTTTTTTGGACCATTCCTCAGTTTATCCGTGTCAGCATCCATTTGCAGAGGTCCTTTTTCCCCTCCTTTAGAAAGGGCGACGGCCTTGAGATATCATCGTTTAACTAACAGGGCCCAGGTATTTCATTCAGAATGATTTATTCTGGTCATCTTTTTGTACCTGGATTCGAATTTGGGTTTATATTTCTTTTTTCTCTTTTTCTTTTTTTTTCTTTCTTTCCCTGTTCGTACCTGGATTCGAATTTGGGTCTATATTTCTTTTTTTCTTTTTTCCCTTTTTTTTTCCTTTTTTCCCCCTTTTTTTTCTCTTTCCTTTTTTTAACTTGGGTTTACATTTCGACAGATTGTGAGTGTACCAATGTTCCAATTTTAACAGATGTCCCGAAGGACTATATTTCTTTATTTCGACGGATTCGTTTTCTACAAAAAATTGCAAATCCTTTCCCCCCCCTCAAAAAAAAAAAAATGTCATTCTACATGGAAGGAAAAAAAATGTTGTATGTTAAAAAAAAAAAAAAAAAAAAAAAAAGCTGTACACACCTCGTAGACCCATTTTTGTACGATCTTCCCCACGATCCCCAGAAGCCAGTGCCGCACATCGACCAATGCTTGTAGCACGTATGAAAGGAGCCATAGTACTGATATTCGATTACTACGCTGCATCCTGGAACACAAAAAAATGGGGGCGGGGGGAGAAGGGGTAGGGGGGAGGAAGGGCGGGGAGCACACATTGATAGATTGCATGCAACGTCAGAAAAACACAACCTTAAAAAAAGAGGTTATATTTATTAAACAAAACAATGCTCGTGGTATATACAAGAAAGACCAGGGCGGCTACGCCCGCACAAATTAACAGAAAGAAAGAGCATATCAACGACTTTCCCGGGGCTTCAATGTATAATCTCTCTCTCTAGGAAGAGGGGCTCGGCGCGGAGCGGGGGCGGGGGGAGGGGTGGGGGGGGGGGGGGGGGGGGGGGGGGGGGACGGGTTGTAAAGCAAGGAGTGAACAAGGGTAGAGCAGGATAATGACGAAAGGGCTGAATCAACGAGAGGGATCGGGTAAATGTGGATGTGCAGGTGATGGGAAGAGAGAGCAGCGAAGAGAGAAAGAGCGACGGACGAGAGGAAGAGAGGAAAGGACATAACCAGATCGGCAGGGGCAACATCGAGTATTGGAGGAATAGGAGCCCGGAGAAGATCCCAACGGAGGAGAGAAAGGGGTGAAGAAAGACGGGAAGATAGAGGGGACAAACACAGGGGAAGGAGGAGAGAAGAGGGTGGGGAAAGAGCGGATCGGTGGGGGGAAGAAAAAAATAAGAGCGGGTATGGAGAGCACAAATTGAACGTTGGCATCTCACCTGCAGAAGGGAGGCCATGTGTGTGTGTGTGTGTGTGTGTGTGAGAGAGAGAGAGAGAGAGAGAGAGAGAGAGAGAGAGAGAGAGAGAGAGAGAGAGAGAGAGAGAGAGAGAGAGGGAGGGGTTTCCAGACGTACAACTTGGACCCTTCGAAGGAGCATGGAAATGGAAAATGGTTTTCTACTGATTTTGAGACGGGCATGATTGGATTTTCAGCGGTGACCATGAGATCTGTATGTATCGTCACAAAGACATCAGAGCGCAAAAGCGAAAAGAACAAAAAAAAATCAATTCATTTCTTATCTTCTTACTTACAACTCCCCCGTTCAAAACCTCTTGCGTCACAAATGTATGTGTCTGTAGTAGCGTGCTCAATTTGATTGAATTGATGATTCACGCGGGAAGCTGTTTCTCAGCTTTGCTGCGCGCCTTTCCATGCATATACATGCTTATCGGGGGGAGAGGGAGAGAGAGAGAGAGAGAGAGAGAGAGAGAGTTGCGCCGTAAACAACGGATGGATGAGTGGAGGGAAGCAGGGATGTAGGGCGCGGGGGGAGAGAGAGAGAGAGAGAGAGAGAGAGAGAGAGAGAGAGAGAGAGAGAGAGAGAGAGAGAGAAGAGGTGGATTTCCCGACCGTGGGCGTACCCACCTATTTCGTTTTTGACCGAGTGTGAACGGGATTCCCCACGTCTTCACGCACGACACTGCTGACAGACTAATTCGTCACAGCAACGGATGTTGTTGTTGTTTTTTTTCTCATCTATCTCATTTTTCTTGCTAGTACTCATCTATCTCATCCTCTCACTAGTGTATGTGTAGTACGGGGGAACACCAACCAACCCGGATCTCTCCCCAGCCCAAGGGGTAGGTTGAACACTGCCTACTGCCCATAGTGCCATAGGCAAAGGAAGGTTTCCTTACTTACGGGGCAGCGCGAGGGCAGAATTCGGCACAGCGACGGATCCACCAGCCTACGAAAGCTCAGTTGGTAAGGCTGGCCAGTGGCATTCAGGAGGTCTTGGGTTCAATCCCCATTGGCCTCATGTACCTTCCTGGGCATGCTTGTCACCCGCCACGTAGTGAGCGGAGTTTGATGATGTTCGTAGGGGAGGGGACCAAGTCCCACTTGACCAGGTTCTTCATTTATGGCCTTTGATCTTCAGAATAGAAGGTCGGAAATCGAGAATTAGGATAAGTGGGCGTTCGCCCCGGAGGGCATACGCAGGGGTTGGTCCTGTTGGGACCATGATGCTACCGGTTGTCCCCTGACCGGGGCCCATGTCCCACATGCACCATTGAGTTGATTCAGCCATAAGATATTATCATGGAACTGACCAGCCCTAGGTTATTCAGAATTGTAGTATTGTCCAGGCCCAGTCCAGATAGCATAGCAAATGTAGTAGCGGCGGATGATGCCAGATTGCTCAGAAGAGACTCATAGAGTTGGGCTGCAGGTCCACACACCGCAGGAAAATCGAGGGTGGGTGGGGCTGTTTCACCGAAAGGTGAGATGATGAACGACCCTTCTTCAAAAGCGGCTGGCTGACTGTCTTGATGTGACTTGCAGGTTTGCCTACGCGATGGGCGCAGCAGCTGGCGGAAGGAATCCGGAGAGCGCGCAGCGTGAGTTGACGCAGTCTGCTGCGCCCAGTCCTGCGCCAGTTACTTACGCTCTTGCCACACCTGGAAGTAGCGGAGGTCGGACTGCTGAGGGACTGCTTCCTGCTGGGTGAGTCCCGATGGTATCCCGATGGGCCGCCGACAATGCTCAGTAGATGCTCCCGCCGTAGATCTTGAAAAAATAGAAGAATAGAAGAAAAGAAGAAAAGAAGAAACAGGCCGACTGTATTAAAAAAAAAAGAATCAACTGTGATTTTGATAATAGATGGTGAAAAGACAACTCCCTTGCGGTTGCCACCGTGATTCTGCAAAAGATCTGCAAAAGATGAAACTAATGTCGTGGGAGTTGAAACCAACCAGCATGTCTGTTTCTGGAGAAATGCTTCACTGATCTGCTTCCAAGTTCGAACACGGGTCTGTATTTCAGCAGACGGACGAAAACCCGTAAATAGCAAAAATGGAATAGCAAAAATGGAATTTGCATCAAAGAATTGGAAATGCAGCAATTATTTCACGGTCAAAATTATTTTATTTATTTATTCTGATATTTTTCCTTGAAAGGTCATGACCTAATCTACTGACCCTCAAATTCTCGAATTTTTAAAGAATTATTCTGAGCACGAAAAATCACCAAAGCTGGCGGGATTGGGACCCCCCCGTGTGAGAATTTTTAAAGAATTATTCTGAGCACGAAAAATCACCAAAGCTGGCGGGATTGGGACCCCCCCGTGTGACGAACGGTCTCCGCCCCTCTGTAGAACCCGGCCCTAACTCACAGGGCCGAGGGCTTCGGCTGCCATCCGAGCCGTCTAGAGGGTTTTCGGCTGCCATCCGAGCCGTCTGAGGGTTTTCGGCTCGGCTGCGATCCGGGCCGTCCGCGGTTGGTGATTGGCCTGCAATCTGGGCCGTTCGCAGGAAAATGTACCGGTTGGCCTCAAAAGGCCCGCCCAGCCCACAAACGACCCAGCTGCCAACAGTTTTCGTTGGTTTTCGGTGACTTCGTGGAAAGGGTTTTTGTGGGCGACGGGTACTCGACGCGCCTACCGTCACTCTACGCCGACTGACGAGTCTACGGCCTCTCCACGGCTACTCCCGCGCCTACTCCCGCCCCTGCTTTCGCCTACTCGCTACGGGCCTACTCCCACCTACTCGACGTGCTTAGTCCCGCCAGCACTCTCTCTCTCTCTCTCTGCCCACCCTCCCCGCCGGCCTTTGTTTTGGTGCTTCGTAGTAAGTGGTCCGTGCTTCGGCGTGCTTCGTCCGTGCTACTTCGTGGATTCGGGGCTTGGAGTATCATCGTGAATTCGGTGCATGGTGGATTCGGTGCATTGTGCTTCGCGCTTCGTGGTTCGTGAATCAGTGGTCCATGCGACTTGGTACTCCGTGCTCCGTGCTTAGTGCTTTGGTGCTTGGTACTTTGTGAGTTGGTGTTTTCTTTGAATGTGTGGTTCGCGCGTGGATCGTGAGTTCCTGCTCAGTCCTCCGACGACTTGAGCTTCGTCGTGGATTCCTGCTCGAGTGAGTGGTTCTACTTCACCTCGAACCCACACCCCCAACCCCTTTTGAAAAAACCATAAAAAAAAAACTTGCATTCCTTCTCTTTTTCGGGGAGGAGCTAGATAATGGGGGGATGGGGGTCACTGCGGGCAAGCGGGTCAGGCTATGGGGGGAAGGGGAGGGGGTTGAGAGAGAGAGAGAGAGAGAGAGAGAGAGAGAGAGAGAGAGAGAGAGAGAGAGAGAGAGAGAGAGAGNGAGAGAGAGAGAGAGAGAGAGAGAGAGAGAGAGAGAGAGAGAGAGAGAGAGAGAGAGAGAGAGAGCATCACCATTCCTCCTCCCTCAGCCTGTCCTCCATTCCTGCCTCGACTCTCTCTCTTCCCTCCCTCGGCCCGTCCTCCATTCCTGCCTCGACCTTCTCTCCTCCCTCCCTCACCCCTGGCCCATCGGCCCTCCCTCCTTCCTCCCTGTCTCCTTCCTTCTTCCCTCGCTTTCTCCCTCCTTCCTCCGGTGGCGTTACCTTCCTCGGCCCTCCCTCCTCCCTCTATTCTTGCTCCCTTATCTGGGGACGATATACAGAGTGTATTCCATTTTTCTTATCTTTCTCAATTTGCGTAAGGCTTAGCGCCACATTTTATTTTCCGATGTGTATAAGGGCGAGCGTGTTCTCTCGCGGGTGCGGTCGCACACAGACGCACACACGGAAGAGAGAGAGAGAGAGAGAGAGAGAGAGAGAGAGAGAGAGAGAGAGAGAGAGAGAGAGAGAGAGAGAGAGACACACACACACTTGCAATATTGGACGACACGTACACACACACACACACTTGCAATATTGGACGACACGTGCGACGCTTTACTTTCACAGGGATACACGTCCTGTCCATGGCATGCGACTAGCACAATCGCGATTACCCTTCTACCTCTCTGCGCAAATCTTTCCAGCCGTTTATGGACATCTGTTGGTGGTGTCGAAGGTTTTATCGTGTTTTGAATCCTGGCTGGTTTGTCCCGTCGTTTGACCTGTCACGTGGGGGCGGTGTTTGCATGTGGGACTTGTCATCTAGGATTTGTTTGCCCCCTGTTCTGTAATGTTAGGCTGCTCCCCCTTCCTCTTTTCATTGCCTCTTCGCCTTTTGACTATGTGCAAGTGGGTAGATATGACCCACGGGGGTGGGGGCAGCCGCCGCCGTTCAATCTACACCCATGCGGGCGGCCTTGTACCCAAGAGGTTCTGAACAGGGCCAGTTCTAAGGAAGAAGGTTTTTAAAAAATGATTTATTTTTTTTTTCTTCTGTTTTCCTTTCGCTTTTGCGCTCTGACAACTTTGTGACAACTTATACCCTTTGTCCCATGTATGGCCCAGATACTTCTCCGTCCAGCTGAACCCTATTCCTTATTCCTTGCAGTCTCCTCTCATCATCATCGTCGTATCTTCGTCGCCGTTGATGGATTTCAGCATCCAGATGTTCTCCTGATCGCGATATGTCGAAACAATCTCTCTGCACAAAACTTTGCGTCTTTACATCCCATGAAGTATCTGGTCGCGATATGTCCGAGTATTCCTTTCCTCTCCTGGTCGTCGCTCATGATTTCGGTCTTCCAAATGCTCTCCTGGCCTCGATATGGCCAAGTATTCATTCGTTTCCGACGAGAAGTTCCTTGCGCCGTTATGTCCAATGATGAAGTATCAAGGTACGTATCCGGCCTCAATTCTATCCCATGTTCTATCCCTGTTGCTGAATTTTTACATTTTGGAATTCAGGATTCGGATTAATGCTTTTTTTTTTTTTTTTTTTGATTAATGCTTTTCATCTTTGCTTGCGTTGTTTATATGTTTTCAAATTTCCGCAAATTTCCGCGTGCTGTATCGATTCATGTCCTTGGATAGAATCTCATGAGTTGAGAAATCGATTCCACTTTCTATTTGGTCGGTACGTTTCCTAGGCGAACTTGTGCTGAATTTTTCTTTCTGACTGTCTGTTAGGTATATCCTTTTTATTCCCGCCGTGTGAGACGGTGTGGCTTTATATTCGAGTTTGAAGATCTTGCTCGGCCCAAGGTTGTATGTAGTATTCATTTTCCTTCCATGGATTTATATTACGACCTTTTTTGTATCCTTTCATTCATCCGTGAGAGAGAGAGAGAGAGAGAGAGAGAGAGAGAGAGAGAGAGAGAGAGAGAGAGAGAGAGAGAGAGAGAGCACAATGTGGTGGGTGTAGGGATTGGGAAGGAAGAGGGTGAAACATGGAAAGAAATGTCGATATATAGCCTGAAATACCTGGCGCAGGGCAGTTAATCATAAAGCCGCTCGAAAGAGAAAAGACCGAGGGAGAATGTTGAGGAGGAAGATCTTGAGGAGGCAGGAGACGTACGTTTGGTGGTGGAGGAGACAGACAGGAGACGTACGTTTGGTGGTGGAGGAGACAGACGACAAGGACAAAGAAGATGCGAGGAAGGAAGAGCGAGAGGAGGAAGTGTGTTATAGGTGAAATGCATTTTTCTCTCTCTCCTGATTTCCCTCTCCTCGCCTTCTTGCCCGTGTGCAACCGTGTTGAGACCTTTAAAAGAAATGGAGCGATTTTGATAACAGATGGAGCGTTGACGTCACCGGATAAAGCAAAAGGAGCACTTCTTAGGTCGGGCGTTACGGAGGTGCGGCCGGTAGAGGGAGGAAGGGGGAGGTAGGGAGTAGGACGGAGGGAGGAATGGGAGGAGGAGGTCAGGTGGTGATCGGGCTGAGGGAGGGGGAGGAAGGAGATTGGGAAAAGGAGGTGGTCAGACAGATTGGGCGAACGAAGGGGGCGAAGGAAGGGGAATGAGGCGGCCAGGTGGACGGAGGCCAGAGGGAGGTTGAAGAGGGACGGAGGCCAGAGGGAGGTTGAAGAGGTGGTGGGGAGGAGGGCTGTAGGAAGAAGGGGAAAGGCGGGAGAGAGTAGGGCGGAAGCAGGAGGTCAGGTGGAGATCGGGCCAAGGAAGGAAGGGGAGGAAGGAGATTGGGGGAAGGTGGAGGTCAGTACAAATCGGGCGGAGGAAGGAGGAGGAAGGAGGAGATAGAGGGAAGGAGGTCAGAAAAAGATTTGGCGAAGGAAGGGGAGTGAGGTGGCCAGGCGAAGGGAGGGCAGAGGGAGGTCTTAAGAGAAGATCCAGAGCGAGGCCTGGAGAAAAGGGAGGCGGCAGGGAGAAGTAGGGCGAAGGGAGGACAGATAGCTGAAGGTAGTTCAGAGGTTGAGTCACGTATGGAGGAAGGGAAGAGGTAAGGGGGAGGAAAAAGCGTGAAGAGGAAGAGGATGAGGTGGAAGGAGGCCGGGGGGAAGGGGAAAGACGGCAGGGTGAAGTCGGGCGGAGGGAGGGCAGATGGAAGGAGGAGGGAGGGCAGAGGTTGGGCGGGGTACGGAGCAAGGGAAGAGGTCAG